TATGGCATGAAACAACTGAGAATATTTCTACTCCCCCCTGGATGGGATGCCAGTCCTTCGCATGTTACTCCCCAGCTAATACCCGTTTATACTTCTGGGTGGAGAGAGCATGAGAGAGGCAAGTGGGGGGGGGGGGGAGTGGCTTGCCAAGAACACAACATATGGCCAGCAGCTGGATTCGAAACCGTGACCCTGTGATCATGAGTCACATATCCTCACCACTAGGCCACACTCCCCATATTAGTTCTTCCCAAATTTATTCGGTTGTCAGCCCTATCACCCACCCCCCCCCCCCCAAAAAAGACATCTAAAACAGCTTACCATTCCATGGCTGCGACAAAACTAATACAATTTGCAAGCTGCAGTGAACAGAGTGAAAACAAACAGGCGACCAGACAATAATCCATCAAGGCTGACCCGCCGAAACATGGCCATGTTTCACCGATCGGTCCTGATTTGTGCACAACTATGTAGGCTATGCATGTACGCAGACCTATTCAACCCATAGATGAGAAATGCACCATTGCACCTTTTCACCAGTAATTCCTTTGTTAAGTATGCGTCAAACCCGTGGCTTTGAGTTGCAGTTGGAAAAATACGATTTGGTTCCGGGTAGATATCCGTCACGGAACACCGCATGGTTTTGTTTATGCTACTGTAAAAACAAGTTCAAGATACTTTTTTGGGGGGTTGGGGGGGGGGGAACAAGTTACCAATCATAACTTATTTACACCGAGTATTGTACAAATGTATTTCATTCCAACATAAATCACCAATACAAATATGTAATACTAAAATACTTCATTGAAATCAAATGTAGGCCTATCTGCATTCTTATCCTCATCGAAATTGACAACACAACGTTAAAATGAAAGTAAAAATCATAATACAAGAGTAACAAATACTTCCGCACGTAGACCTGGACTTTATGAAATATAAGGAACTATTGATTTTGTATGTGACTGATCAGTCCTAACGTTTTAATCACAAGTTAAGGTCAGACTTTCATCATCAATGTATCCATTTATTCTTCAAAATAATTATTAATGTTTTTGCTTTAATTTAAGTTGTCATATCAATGAAATTCACATTAATAATGATCGCTGATGAGGCTACATTGTTTTGCATAAATAGGTAGAAATGCGTGTAACTTTTGCTTTAAATATTTGATTTGTTTCGTATTCATGTTGTGTTTCTTACATTTATCAACTAAGCCTCTGTACTAATGACGTCAGACTTTGTTTACATGTGCACTTTCCTCTGGAGCCAGCGGGGCCCACGGTCCACTGAGCACCATAGGTAAGCACACACGTAACAAAGTGTGACGTCATTAGTACAGAGGCTTATTATTATATACCACTTATATTACCATGGACTCTAATAAATCATAACGGTCATTACAAACGGCTACAACTTATGCGAGTTGGAGTGCCCCTTTAAGTCAGGGAAGCGAATGAACGACCTGTACACACGCTCGCTATAAGATTTATAACTTGCACTGTCATCATAATGACTTGTTTCGAAACAAAATCCGCCAGCTTATTAACGGTGAAATTAAATATGATACAATTAGCATACAATTCGAAACTCATAGACATATTAGGCCTGCTCTGCCAAGTGCCAACACGAAAGCGGACCTCTCATCTGAAATTGATGTTAGGGAATTCAACAAGTTGTGTAAACAGCTTTATAATTATTAAAAAAATGCTATAATTACTTTCGATACAACGCTTATAGTATTTAAAGTGGAGCTGTGCATGTTGGAAATACAAAATGTTCGATATAATTAGTGGCAAATTGTACTGATACCGTACCGCCATCGTAGGCCATCGTGAAAAGCATTATGGGACTGATGCGCATAAGAAAGTCACACACGCTTGTTGTTGTTGACCTTGTAAATGTATACCCCGCGTTTTTATTACATTTTCAATACACCGTGGAATCATAATAGACTTAAAATCTTGTAAGTATGGAATCCCTAAAACCTTTGTGCATGGCTTTTATTTTTAAAAGAATATTTTACATGTTCATATTTAGTTAGCACAGAGTACAGGTCGATACAGCACAGGGGCGTCAATCGCTTCTCAAAAGTGGGGGGGGGGGGGACATACCTTGATCAGAAATAATGCGAGCGCGAAGTGCGAAGCCCTTACAGCGTGGGTTCGGGCCCGCTTAAGGGCCCCTACAAAATTCGGATTCTAGATGCTCATGTGTGTGATCTGAGGCAATTTCTGACCACTTTAACCAATATTTTCTTAGCAAAAGATACATTGTAGTACATAAGGGCTCTGTAAATGAGGCACGAGTTCAAAAATCTGAGGGAGGGGACATTTGATATTGTGTCCCCCACCCTTCAAAAAGTGTGTGGGGGGGGGGGAGAAACATGTCCCCCTGCCCCCCCCCCCCCCCCCCCCCCCAGGATTGACGCCCATGATACAGCAAGAAGAAATTAAGATATGTATTTGTATTAGGTCCTTTCCCCTTAGCCCTCCTATACTGATGGAACTGTCACAATATTTCCCATAGCTTTTGTACAGGTCTGTCACCAACTGCCAGAACCCCCATGGATTAAACACATAACTGTCAATACCTCTTAATTGAACAAGTTTGATAGATATTAGATAGGGTGACATTGAATACTGCTACAACTTGTGTAGCAGCCAAGCTTAGAGGGCAGTGCCTTTGCTGGGATCAGGCGCGGTTCTGGGGGGGGGGGTGTAGAAAAGAGGAATTACCCTTCATGTAGCCTTGCAAACGTCATTTGCTACACAAGTGTTTTTATTCGAAGTATTCGGTCCCTTTCTGAACGCACCCTGAGGCATGTACTTTATTGCTGCTGTATTTGGTTCTTGTGGAGGTGGTGGTGGTGGTTCACTGTAATTACACAAATTACAATACTTAACTTTAGTATTAACAATTACAGAAAAACATAATAAACCATTAGATTAATTAGTCAAATACATGTATATATGCGATTGAGCTTGAGCCTTCACTTGACATAGTGCGTACATTATCCCTGTACGTGTAAGTAAACACCCCCAAAACATATCAATCTTCACTTTGAAAAGCTACAAATAATCTTACTAAATCACTCAGAATACGATAAATTATATCCATGAATAAATCAACAAGGCTTACCGATTGTGCTGGATCCGAAACTACAACATTTGGGACTTAGAAACCTGATAATTTTACATTGATTTGGGGAGATAAATTTGGTACACGTTCATTGTTTACGAATCATCGGAATCATGAAGAATTTACACTTTGACCTTACAAAATGCACCATATCACAAGAGGGCGCTATTACGAAAGTACGGGAACGATTAACGTACGCACAGTTTTACCGCAACAAACTTATTTCCAATCAAAGGTATGCGTGATCATAAATTAAAGTTTAGAAAACACTTTGAAATAACAATTATGATAAACCCAAATTAAATTTCACAACTTGCCGCTACACTTCATTTCCTCGCGATTGAGGACCAAACCATCATGCTTTCAACGGAAACCTATGCTTTGCGTCGACAAAAAAATGATAATGCACTTTCTCAGTTTCTCAACTAAAGTGTCACATCTACTGATCTGAAATTTCGACAGATTAGTCTCTTAATAACCTGCTTCGGGCATCGCTGTATACTATAGTAAAGTTCCTTGAATCGGCAAAACTTTTTTTGTTTGGAACATTGTCTATTACATTTTGTCACTAATATTAACATTTTTGAGAGAGTGTGGACACAACATGGATGGTGCTTTTGCTGAGTGGAAAAAATACTTTAGGGCTCTAAATAGCGCCCTCCTACTGTGTCCACCATCTCTACAAAAGTCTTATTGAAATTTCTTTCAGCGTAATTGAACTTGTAGTAATCTCTCTAAACTTGAAATAACAGATAATTGTGCTATCCACTGTGCTATTTCCCTACATTGGAAGACTCATAGTCAGCTATTCGTACTTTTATAGGTAACGGACACCATTTGCAAAAACAAACATGGTTTTTTTTGCCGATTCAGGGAACAACAACAAATCTGAAGCAGGTTGTAAAAAAAAATAACCTGTCGCAATTTCATCCCAGAAGACCTTTTTTTTTCTTTGAGATAACTGCGAATGTGCATCTTTTTTTTTTCTCGACGCATGGTTTGGTCCTATAACCACCGCAAGGATCTGATGTTAAAATCGTTTATTCTCAAAAATAACAGCATACTGTACTAATGATTTTACAGGATGCTTGATCCTATTATTTACTTGCAATCAAGTAGGATATTTCATGATATTTTGACAGATTTATGTTGAATGTTCGCAAATGGTGTCCATTACCTTCAAAAAATTACGGTGACACCCATGCGGTTTGTATGTATGACACGCACAGGTCGAAATGTTCAACACACTGTATATAAATTCCACATAGTGTTACTTTAAACCGCATTTTTGGCATGTAAATGGATTAACAGCAGTATATTTCCCGTGTCTTTTATGAAGTGACAAGCGGATACACTGTGAACATGAGACACTGAACAAGGCAAGGCTCGAACGGAAAGCCATTTTCCTGAATGTATGTGCATGTATTATAATGCCGCAATTTAATTCAGCGACAAGTGTAAAGAACAGATATATAATAATTAGGGGCTTAGCTGAAAAATCCTTTCAATGGAACTTTGAAATTAAAGATAACTATGTTTCAAATGATGAGATTTAATTTACAGTTGGTAATACTTTATCTATTTAGGCTTTTTACATTGTGAGTGGTTTCTGCATGTGCGGTGTTATTTCTGTATTGAATCTCTGTCGTCACTCAATTGGAAAGGATTCGCAACCCGTACACTGTATTCTCAACCCAACCACTCTCACCATCATCACGGTTGGTAGGCGTGTCCCCCGGTGCGGTGATGTCATCAGGAGTAGCGTACACGTGATCGTGATGGGCGTTTTTATTCTTAGCGACCTGGCTGTACACGGATGGGGCAGCTTGGGTTGGTTCAGTGCTGGGTTGGTTAACTACTGGTCAACCGTACGAACTGTTGGCGTATTTTCTTGTCCCCGTGTCCATGACAACTTCTGAAATTCCAGTTCTTTTATTGGCTCTGGAAATTAACAAAAACCATGGAAATTTGTATTTTTCAAATGTGACTCATATTGAGGGAATTTATATGAATTTATACTTGAAACGGGGCACTCGCCCATCCGTGATGAAAGGTAGACAGTGTTTTTTTTTTTTTTTTTTTCACCGGCCGTCCGGCCTCCGTAAAAAAAGTAAGGAAGGTGGGGGGGGGGGGGGGGATGGATACCTTCCGATGGGGTGCTGTGTCAAACCGGACGATCATGGGGGGATACCATCTTCCTATGGGGCACTGTTCCGACCGGACGATCGGGGGGGGGGGGGGGGCTGGACACCATCTTCCTATGGGGGGGGGGGCTGTTCAAACCAGGCGATCATGGGCACTATCGTCGGACAAAATAGTTTGGCACATTTCACGACACATTTTGGCGGCACAATTGCCGACGTTCGGGCGACATTCCAAAAAATGGAAACTCGTTAAAAAGGGCGCTCGTAAAAAAAAGGGCACTTGTGAAAAAAAGGCACTCTTTCCAAAATGTTGCGAAGTGAATACGTCCTTAACCCCTCCCCCGGCTACGCCACTGGATAAAGTGGCTCACTCTACGACATCCGTTTCATTTAAAACAACAAAAAAGTATGCAAATAGCATGTGGTCGTTAACCAAAACTGGACCCGACTGAGTGACTGATTAAGTTACTGACTATAAATTTTGTGAGTCTCGAGTCAGCTCGATAAGACAAGCCTGATTCTTGTTTAATGGTGTGCGAGGTGCATGGAAGCAGTTATATATACCTTTTCTTCCGTAGATATATCACCACCACCAAAAGAGCCACAGTCAATGCCGCTATTATTCCAACTGCTATTCCAACTATCATACCTGTGGAAGAAAATCCAATGTAGCAGTCTTGACTGAAGACTAGCTTCTCGAGGATTATTTTAAACCACTACTTAGAAGCTAACCTTGTTTTGACAGCGATATCTAATCCTTCAAATAGCTACAAAATAATACTGCTATTGGATAAATATTGCTCAAAGTAAAGATAGGACTAGTGTGTCACATACCCTTTGAAAATTATTCCACCTGAAATGGAAGAAAACTATCAACAAGGTGGTTTTAATTGATTGTACGTGCGTTAGCAACATAATCCAGTTACGAGACCCCCAAAAAACTTGCATATATACGTTTTTCTCTGTTTTCTTAAAATGTATCGCGAGATGAAACTTCAACTAGTTAGTTGTTGTACATCTCACATAAGATTTTGAGCAATGTTGTTGCTTCACACGAAAACAAAATGCACAAAAAAATGATCCAATGTACTAATAATTAGGCAATGATAATGTCGGGAGAATCTGCAAGTATTATTCAATGCAGAGTAAGTTTCTTGGTTATTTTTCAATTTTCATACCTGTTTCTAACTCTCCTTTATGCGTATCGTCAGTCCCCTTTGCCGTTGTGCTGGAACTGTTATATCGGTCTGTAGAAGTAGCCCCGTAATCATCAGCTGGGTGAAATAAAATATTGGGCAGTTTGAGTTAGGCTGGCGCAGTGGCGGTACTTTCTTCGCTTTTCACTTCTGTGACCCAGGTTCGATTCCTGCACATGACTATACATGCGGGTTTTCCTAACATGTATCATTTTGGAGGAGTTTGCGTCCTTTCTCTAAAATAAAGCTGAACATTTCTTCATCATTTTCTCTATCTCTTTAGTTTCATATTGATTATGCAGATCATTAATGTCTATCACTACGATGTGCAATAATATTGTCAATGTCAATTAACACATTAACACTCAGTACGCCAATGTCCGTTCGGTTAAGTATTGTTTCTCACAACTTTTAGAAAACCTACATTTGGGTAGTGTAATTAGTTGATGCACAACAAAATGAAGAAAGGAAATTTAGATCAGAACAAATGCAATTTGCAACACCGCTTCGTTGTTTCCCCTTCTAAAAGTAGGTGTTTTTTTTCATATTTAGTTGGTTGCATTTCCATATTTTAGTATACTCTTAATATAGTTTTAAAATAGCTGGAAAAACCTTTAATAAAATGACGGAATGCTTCATATACTTGTATATACGATGAGACTGTTGTCGAAGTAATAATACAGCTATAGGCACTCCACGTGACGTTGTTTAGTCAAAGCGATTTAGTGAAAACACGAAATCAAAATTTAGTGTTGTCTAATTTCATTCTTTTCTGATTATGGCAGGTTACTGTATCTTACTTAAATACCTTCACATGTCGGTACCGAGTCATTCCACGTGACGTTGTTGTAGCCAGTCTCAATGCATTCAATGCTTGATGTTCCATTTAGGGTATATCCAGGGTCACAGAAAAATCTACGCGAGTCCCGAAGAACTTGAAGTTGTTGAGATTGTAAGGCAGTGAACGCGGGTTGGCGATGTTGTGCTCCGTTGGCGGTGGTCCTATGTCATTACTGCATACTCCGTCTGATACTGTTATGACAAGAAAGGAAAGAAGAAATTCCGAAAACTGGAACAACTTTCAGAATACGATCTTTACATTTAAATAATAAGTCATTTATAAAAACAGAGAGAAAGCAGCCAAGAAAATAAACATCACACTATGAGCCATCCTTCGGACTCATTGTGTCGAAACTGTTTCGCAGTTTTCGCGTTTTTGTATGCAAATGAAACAGAAGAAGGAGTTGGTCAACCGCCCCTTTAGTTTGACCAATGTCGATTATTCATTACATGTTACTGGAGGAAATGATAGGACGTCCTGTACATAATGCACATTTCGGTTCATAGCTCAAGGCCTTTTTTCTGCCTGTACGTGTTGACGTCAACATCTCCGCCAACACTCTTAACAATTCTTGGAGTTAAAGCGTTGGTTAAAGTTTCTTCGGACAAAAAAACTTGATCTAGCACATGTAAATTAATGGATGAAGCCTTACTTCTGTAGATAGAGATCCTCTTATCATCTCCACAGAACTGGTCGCTGTTTCCCTCGCACCTATCTTGACACTCAGAGTCGTCCCTTATGTCGTGTCTGCCGTAGTCTTCGTTATTTCCACAGAAACATTCATATTTGTATTCTAGTCCAGCGTATTTGTAGCTGATGATTTCACCATCCAAACAGTGTTTGAAGCACCATTCTACAGACTGATTGCTGCTGCCTTTGCTGCCACTTGGTCCAATCGGGAGCACACGATCACTCCCGTCATCTGCGCAGGTCAGATCTTCACAGTCCTGGTAGCATCCCAGATAACCAGGAGCTATAATCAGAAGCAAGTAAGTGAAAAGTGAAAAAGTACCCTTTGTTCAAATAATACAAACAGCAAATTCTTTAGTGTCTCAACAAGTTTCAATTTTGTACATAGTCTAAAGTCTTGCCCTTAGTTGAGTCATTGAATTTCGGCAGTCGGATTTACTCTTTTTTTTAGATTTTGTAAATTTCTGAAGACCAAAGCATGAGTCTAACACATCGTTCCCTCTCGGGTTGTACTGAAATAATGCTGGCAGTGAGAAAGAGCAGATTCAAAAATAGCCTGCCGAGGATAAGTAGATACCGAATGATACTTTAAAAAAAAATGATTGCGGTTCCCACCAAGGCGGATCCAGGGGGGGGGGCCAAAGGGGGCCATGGCCCCCCCCAAAACGAAACAAATTTTTTTTTTTTTAATGTGACATCGCAATAAAGGCAGGCAATGAGTACACCACCATCTTTTCCTCAAAAAAATTGGTTAAAGTGGTCAGAAATTGCCTCAGATCGTACCACAGAGCATCTAGAATCCAAAAAATTTTCGGGGCCCTCGCGGGCCCCGAACCCCACGCCGTAATTTTTTAGACCCACTTTTTGGGGGGACCAAATTTTTTTTTGGCCCCCCCCAAAAAAATTGTGTTCTGGATCCGCCCTTGGTTCCCACTGCAATAACGCGGTCAATCAACTGGCCATTCGCCCATCTAACCCTGACAAAAGGGTGGCCAACTGGTCAAAATATCTGTACACCAGTAATCTGGAGGTCGTGGGTTCGAGTCTCAACCAAATCATTTTTAGACAATGATGCATGTGTATAGCATGTTTATAGAGTTACGTCGATAAATGGTACGGGATTCTCTCCGAGAACGCTTTTTTATTGAAACTACAATGAATATGTGCCCAATTGAAAATATTTAACAAAAATAACGACTTACCATTCCGTGGCTGCGACAAAACTAATACAACTTTGCAAGCTGTAATGAACAGAGCAAAAACCAACAGGCGACTAGACAAGAATCCATCACTAACCAGGCGATGCTTCAGTAGAATCATGACTAGGGCCTATGTTTTCTCGACAATGACCTGATTATGTGCACAGCTAATAATGTACTCCACTCACAGATGAGAAATGCGCTATTGCAGATTTCACGGTATATTTTGTTTGTGAAAACGGTGTCAAACATGCATCGCTTTGAGTAGCAGTTTCTAAAAACACGATTTGATTCGGGTAGATATCCCTCACGGCTGTTCTTTTTATGTAAATGCAAAAAAAACCACCAAATTTCAAGCACAGTCCTTTTCGAGTATTCATAACCAGACAGTTTATCCATTCCTATTGGTCGAGAGCCCGTCACGTGGGTGGTTTTAAACGGTTGAAACACCAACTGGTAACTCCTCTTTTCCGGTGTACTTGGAATTTTTACTCGGGCTTCGGAAATCTGGTCAATGTTTACTCTTCTTGGTTGAACCCTCACACGTGACCAGTCACTCTCCCAGTTATCTTCCTTTAGGCATGCGCAATACTATCAATGAGTCCGTATTTCATAGTCCTCATCATTGATGTACATCAATAATGGAAATCAAATAGAATTAGGCCTACGCTGCCAACATGAAAAATAAAGCGGATCTCTCATCTGAAAATCGATGTCAAGAAATTCAACAAGTTGTGTAAACAGTTTTAGATTTATATACACAAGTGCAATGGAGCTGGAACTTTATAGATGCAAAGCTTCTTGTTTTCAAAGTCGAGCTGTGCATGTTGGAACTACAAAGCGATTGGTCGATACTGTGGCTTAATTTTCCGTAAAGTTTAATTTCTCCGTCATTTCTCTTTTAAAAAAATGTTCACGCTCAATTTCCTATTTGAGACTGAGCTAAAAAGAATCGAGAGTGCCCCTTTAACCCTGGTTGAAAATTTTACCCATAATTTCTGAGGAAAAGATCAGACCCAGGCCAACTCCCATAGGATTTGTATTGTCCCGTATAGTATTGTAATTGAATTGTATTGTAAGTATAGCTGCTGTATAACAAGGCCATCAATCATCCTTTAGATATATAGCCTCGGGCTGTTGTGGTGGGGGATGCCAGGCAAAAACCAGAGATATAAAACTTTTTCGCAAGGGCACTGACTAAACACAGAGTAATCTGGGCATATATACTTGCTTGGCTTGAAATTGATTTCTTGATCAAAGAAGGCCTGTATCCATATATTTAGACACTACGAGAAGGAATTATGTTCACCAAAACGCCTACTGATAGGATTGTGTTAGACCGTATACACTCATGCACCGTCATGCTGAAAAGTTCGGTACGGTGGTAGACTACAACTTAAAGAAAACGATGACGCCTCGCATGGTAGTCATCATTTACTGATACTGCCATCTTGGCCATTGTTGGACCGAAAAGCATTCTGGGATCGATGGACATTAAGAAATCACACTATTGACCTAGTTATGAAATGTAACTATACCCTTCATTGTTTTCATCCAATTTTCAATACACCGTATGTGGCATCTTACTTGACCAAGTAAAATATTTGGAAAATCTAGTGAAGTATGGAATCCATGAAACACTTTTATTACATGGCTCTTCTTGAAGAATATTTACACGTTTACATTTTAGGTAGCACAAAGGACAGACTGATAGCTAGAAGAATTAAGAATAAAAGGCCTCATAAAGGTAATTAACCTCCATACACTTACTTAAAATAATTATGGACACCAATGGCAAACATTCCAAAACTGAAACTGACAATCCTACTTAATTGATTAGAAATAAATAATAGTATCATGCATTCTGTGAAATCATTAGCATATCATTTCCTGGCGATGATACAGGACCAAATCATCTGTCTTTCCGTTAAAAGACACATGGTTTGATCCGATATTATCGCAAGGAAATGATGACAATTCCTCTTTTCTCAAAAATGCCAGCATACTAATTACATTACATTACATTTCTTTCCCGGTGTATGCAAAACAATTTAATACTGGTTTCCATTGGGGCCCTGCATACACTGCAAATTATTACATGAAGTTAAAGGTAACATTCACAAGCAAGAAGTACATTGGTGAAACACACTTAGATCACACATACTCACAAAGACAAGCAATATAGTAATATTTACACAAAGCTTTATATAACAGATGTTAATTTTTAAACGTTCCAGCGTACAAGGCAATTGCATGATGAATTATCCTATCAGCAATTTACAAGCAATTTTGTTTTTGATAAGAACAAGAACATAATTTAAGAGGTTCCCCATCATTTATACTTGTACGTAACGGTGGAGGAGAGTATCATGTAACCGAATTTGTGAAAGAAAATTCGCCAGATTGTTTATCTCTTGATACATCGACCGCGTTTGAATATTGTAACAAAACACACATTTTTTTTCGTCGGAATTGATGATAAGTTTCTGTAAAAATGTCGACATAAAACACTTTAACGCTAAATGTCTATTCAAAACCTTGCCTCATAAAATCAAACTCACATCTTAGGTTTTTAGCCCCATTTTGCTGGTCAGAAACTGCTCTCGAAATATATTGAGGAACATAAGTACGATCTCAGGTGAATGGTCTGGTATCACTTATCGCGAGTAATCCAAAAAGACAAAAAATGTATGGTTAGTCGGCTTTTAAAATTGCTCATTTTTATCGAAACAAAAACAATTACCGAAGAGAAATCTATTGTTTGTAAAAGATCACCGAGTGAATTTTTATGTTCAGTATTGCATTGCCCTGTGGAAACCTCGATTGTCTAGAAATCTTAAATGGGAAAGTGACACATGAACAATGGAAACTTTTTGATACCTTATCAACCACTTTACATGTGAAAAACCGCCGCATGGAATTTGTCTGGCCATTATTGTTAGGGCTTGCTTAATACAGAACATTGATTTAAAGTTAACATTTATTCAAATTAAAGGGGAAATACAACATTTGCAAACATCCAAAAATAAAACTACCAAATCATTTTGAAATACCTTGCTGGACTGTTAGTGAATGACAGTGTAAAGCATCCTATAAAATCATGGCACCTGGTATACTGTCATTTTCAAGAAAAGTGGTATTTTTGTATCAATTTCCAACGCTGGTCGGCCGACCAGCGTTGGAAAAAAACTGGCTTTTTTTTCTTCAAATACTGGCCCCAATTGACCATCGCACTTGTTCGCAATCGATTACACACCTATGAACGGGTACAAGCCAGCTAGACTGGTTCCCTGACCTTACAATTCCCCAATGTATGTAAACTGCTCTGTTTCTTCTGATATGGAGTCAGGGAACCAAACTACAGGAAAATAATTGTTTTTCTTGGTTTTTATAGCATTTTCGAACCCAAAACCTCAAAAATGCCAGTGTAACTATATTTGCTATATATTTCCACCCCCCCCCCCCCAATTCCATCCATTTCTGAAAATTACAGCAAAAGCAATGATGTATATTCCCTTTAAGCGCGTAGAAGCAGTTTAACTTGGCATCTAAAAAGAGGAAATGCCTGGTTGCCAGGGCCGACTCCGTATGGTTTCCGAGGGCGCAGTCACGTTCCCGCAGCGCCTATACTGTAAACTTACACACGTTCTATGGGAGTGAAACGTACGTGGGATATAACTATTCGAGTGGGCAACAACAGTGATGATGATGCATATAACGATGATGATGATGAAACACTGTACAAGGCCAACGGAAAGCATAGTTTTTCCTGAATGTATATGTACATGTATCATATTACCGGAATTTAATTCAGCGACAAGTCAAGAACATATATAACTTGCGGCTTAATTAGCTCAACAATCCATTCAATGGAGCTTCGAAATTAAAGATAAACTGTATTTGAAATGATAAGATTTACTTTATAGTTGGTAAAACTTTATCTGTTTAGGCTTTTCCATTGTGAGTGGTTCTACATGTGTGGTTTCACGTCTGTATGGAATCTCTTTTGTCATTCAATTGGAAAGGATTCGCACCCGTATACTTTATTCTCGACCCAACCACTCTCACCATCATCTCGGTTGGTGGGCGTGGCCCCCGGTGCAGTGACGACATCAGGAGTAGCGTACACGTGATCGTGGGCGTCTTTCTTAGCGACCTGGTTGTACACGGGTGGGGCAGCTTGGGTTGGTTCAGTGCTGGGCTGGCTAACTACTGATAAATCGTACGTAGTGTTGGCGTATGTTGGTCCGACGGTGTCCATGGCAACGTCTGCACTTCCGGTTCTTTGTTTGGCTCTGGAAATGAAAGCCCCGGAAAATTGTTTAAGTTGTTGTACAATATTGCAAGTGCATGTTACAAATTTACACAAAAAAAGTTACAAAAAAAACTTGGCCCCGTCTGACTAACTAGCTGAGTGGCTGATCAAGTTACAGACTTTAAAAATGGAATAGTACGTGTTTTTTTTTAATTCGATTTCCTTTTCGGAACGAAATTTAAAGGAATATAATGTCCTGTAACAAATACATTTGCTTGTTTGTTTTTGCAGGCCTTCGTACAGTTTTAAAATTTGGTTTGAAATGGCGCGCTCCAGTTCAGAAATTGCGCACACTATTCAGGAGCGTCCCGCTCTGAATTCAAAAGTTGAAACTAATTAACTGATTACTTGTCATGCGCTGATTTTTTCGTGCGATGTCTCATTGGAAAGCTCATAACTAATGTAATGCTAGAAAATTATCAATTCAATTTGAAAATAAATTTTTCAAGGTGCTACACCCAAAAAGCACGTATACACCAACTTTAAAATTATGTGAGACTTTTGGGTCCAGCTCGACAGGGGAAGCCTATACACTGTAAAAAAAAATAATGGCCGAAACACTGTTGGGCAATATAATTTTACCCAACATTGGTTTAAAATTACCCAATTTGGGTAACAATTTTCCAACAATTGGGAACAATTTGCCCAAGAGTTTAACCTGTTTACGGTTGGTCTACCTATCAACCCATTTTGCCCAACGTGTGTACAAGTGTAGTTTTTTTTAGTAGTATGCGAGGTGCATGGACGTCAGTACAAGCAGTTAGATTAAAGTACCTTTTCTTCCTCAGACATATCACCACCACCAAAAGAGCAGTCAATGCCGCTATTATTCCAACTGCTATTCCAACTATCATACCTGTGGAAGAAAAAAAATATGTCTACATCATTGAATGAATACACTACTTAGAACTAAGGTTTGTTTTGACACCGGGATCTAACTCTGCATCTACAACATATTTGAAAAGAGCGCTTATTATATTATTTCTCACATGGAGAAGAAATATCATACATCATACCCTTCAATTTTTTCAATGTTGACTATTGCTGCAAGCTTTGTAAAAAGTGGCAGTTTCAAAAGAGAGTCTTGTGATCTGTGGCTGTTTTTGTTGGGTTGGTGACCAAATTTTTCTTGAGTTTGATAAACGGTTTTCACATCACAACAAACTTAAGTTGGCTGTGGTAATGTAACGTTCAGAGACTGCGGTAGCATCTAATCATGCGATGCTTATATTCAGTGCTTCCACAAAAGAGTAAGTTTTTGTTGCGAATGTTATTTACTGTATTTTCATACCTGTCTCTAACTGTCCCTTACGCCGATCGTTGGTCTCAGTTGCCTTATAACCGTCAGTAGAAGCTCCGTCATCAGCAGCTTGGGGAAATAAAGTATTAGGTTAGGTACACTGTTATTTCGGCTGTGTACTATATGAACCTAGCAACCAGTTGTGTAAAAAAATTGAACAAGTTGTGTAATATTTTACACAAGTTGTGTAGTATTTTACACAAGTTGTGTAAACAACAGTTTACACGGGTTGCTATGTTCATATACTACACAACTGTCTGATTTTTACACAACCGAAATAACAGTGTAAGCGTAACGGTATACGCTCTTCGTCTTTGACCCGGGTTCGATTCCCGCCGTGGGTGACAGGTAGTCTGAGGATCACACGTTCACGTGTAGTGTGCAGGGCCACACTACGAACGTCTGATATTATGTGAGCATTGCACTTTTAATGCGACCCTGCGAGCCAGCCAATCGGAGTCAACTTTGGATTTTGTGACGTCATTTCGTGCAGAAATTCGGCCTACGCTGTTGACTAGTCAAGTGGCTGCCATGTTTTGGCACAAAACAGGGTTACCGAAGACCCGATAGAAGGCGCCCGCTGATTAATCAGAATCTGGTGGTCCACACACAGTCTTGTTTTGCAATATTACTTGCCGAATCTGAGTGAATATCGTAGACGCTTGTGTGCATGCAAGTGCCTATTTCCATAGACTAGACAGCATGTGGGTTTCCTAGCATGTTGTATGGGTTTTGTTCGTCCTTTCTTTGAAAAATACTGAAATTTCTTCATCATTTTCTCAGTCTCTGTAGTTTCATTTTTGATTACAGATCCAAGTGACCATCGTTACAGTGTGCGGGCAAAAGCCGGAGGATAATACATGTACATGTATTTTCATTTTCAATTAACACACTATAACACTTAGTATACCAATATCATTTTGGTTAAGAATTTTTTTTCACAACCTTTCAGACTAGGGCGGATCCAGGGGGGGCCAAAGGGGGCCATGCCCCCCCCCCCAAACGAAACCATTTTTTTTGTAACATCGCAATAAAGGCAGGCAATGAGTACACCACCATCTTTTCCTCAAAAAACATTGGTTAAAGTGGTCAGAAATTGCCTCAGATCGCACCACAGAGCATCTAGAATCCAAAAAAATTTCGGGGCCCTTAAGCGGGCCCCGAACCCCACGCCGTAATTTTTTTGACCCACTTTTTAGGGTTACAAAATTTTTTTTGGGCCCCCAAAAAAATTGTGTTCTGGATCCGCCCTTGCTTTCAGAAAACCTCGAGTATTAGGATTGGTTGATTCATTAAAAAAAGAAGGAAAGAACATAACAAATTGTTTTCTTAGAAATTTTTTTTTCTGCACTGTGCTTGATAAAATGTGGGAATATTTCTCACTAAACGGTGAAATCGTTGTCGAGGAATTTTCGATGCAAGTAGGCACGAAGTCACTCCACGTGATGTTGTTGTAGTCAGTCTCAATACATTCAATGCTTGATGCTCCATGGAGGGTATATCCAGGGTCACAGGAGAAATCTACACGAGTCCCGAAGAACTTGAAGTTGTTGAGATTGTAAGACAGTGAACGCGGGTTGGTGATGACGTGCGATCCGTTGGTGGGTGGTCCTATGTTGTTACTGCACACTCCTTGCGATACTGAAAAAAAGTTAAATATTGAGAGGAAAATACAGTCAATACATAAATACATATATAGGTGTCATTGTAAGATGCATGTATTTGGTCATGCTCCCAGCCATTGCAAATTCAGTATAAGCTAATTTATAAAAGGCCTCAGCGCGTTCCTGAAAGTCATATCAGTATTTAAAGCAATGATCATAAATGGTATGAATGGCCAAAATGTGCTTATGTTTAATGAATTGCAGGTATAGGTATTGCTTAAAGACTGCATTTCTTGCTCCAAATCCTTTCTATAAACATCCAACAAAATATCCGCTGTATTTCTGCTCTTTCGTAATGACTTACTTTCGTACATAGAGATCCGCCGGGACTTTCCACAGATCTGGTCGCTGTTTCCCGTACACCTATCTTGACACTCAGAGTCGTCCTTTTTCCCGTGTCTGTTGTAGTCTTCGTTATTTCCACAGAAACATTCCTTTCCGATTTCAAGTCCTGCGTATTTGTAGCTCATTGATTGTGAATCCAGACAGCGTCTGAAGCACCATTCGACAGACTGTTCGTCGCTGTCCATTGGCCCATGCGAGAGCACACGATCATCGGGAACACAATACGTACCTTCACAGTCCTCGTAACATCCCAAATAACCAGGAGCTGTGAGTAGAACGCATACATTAAATCAGATTAATACTAATATTACGAACATAATATTCCTATTGCGTTTTTACAATTTTTAAAGCAAAATAGCAAATATGTTAATTTATTCAATAAGTTAAAAAATTTGACTTTGCAAAATTAATATTTCAAACTTTTCTAAAAAAATATTTGTATTCTGTTTGTTTTAGCAGTATGGTAGTTAATTGTACTACTATTAATTTGTATTAATTATTGATTACTAGAATGTTTAAATTTTTGGTCGGCCCTAAGGCTTAACGTTTTTATCTAGACTTTATCTCTTCCGGGAGATGGTGTCCCGCACCGTGCCCTTATACTCCAAGGTACAATTTTCATTGTCAAGAAGTTTTCTAGTAGCAGGATGTAAAACTACCTCATTATGTCATTTCCGTGCTAACTTATGAATCCATTTATGACATTGTTTGCCCTCATTTCCCCCCTTCATGTTGTTTGTAGTCATAAACAGCTATGTACATTTGTAAGTGTACTATAATGAGGGCTGGTACAAGCTCATGTAAGTATTCGCACCCACCCTTTTTCCTGTTCTGGCCAGGCACATGACCAGCGAATAAAAAAAGTTCTCCAAAAAATGAGGTCTATCCCTACATGGTGAGTCAAAATAAGCGGAACCCAAACCCCAAAAAATATATTTCATATTAAAAAATGTTCATAGCACCAAACATAATAATGACTGGCAAGTCAATTTCATAAGCTACTTTTAGATGCAAACAATTACTGAAATTGCTCGATCCGTTCAAAGAATATCAACATTCAAACGCAAGGACCCTTAAACCTGTTTCGTCCCCCAAAAAACAGTTTATTGTGTTTTCTGACTGCTTGGAACAACAAAGAAAATGACATTCGACAATAGTCTTGTTTCAACAACTGTCAACAACTGTAGTACGCAATATCTTTATGAACAACCCTGGTTAGGCAAACAATATGATATAAAAAATTCCTTTTTATTTTCTAAAAGATGGGCCTTCAAAAGGACTTTGTTGAATATGTTTAACTTTGAAACTGAGGTTCGCAGGTTAGGTTTAAAGACAATTGTGACGAGGATTCTTGAAATCGCATTTTAGGACAAAAGAGGTTTTAGGGTCATCGTGTTTAAATGGTGATATACATTTTGAACGGATCGAGCAATTACGGTAACGTTTTCGTCTACTTAGCTCATGAAATTGACTTTTCAGTCATTATTATGCTTGGTGCTACATATTTTTTTTAAAAATGAAATTAATTTGGGGGATTTGGGTTTCGCTTTTTTTGACTCGCCCTGTAGAGCAAAATATACAAACCGTTCATCTGTAGTGTAGTTGGAACCGTTGCAAGTTGAAATATCACCACCCATAGTTCAACATACAGAAGGCGGGTGGATACCGTACGTTGTAATATCTGCAGCGGAATCATTCTTGATTTACTTTCGTTGAAACAAAAAAAGCAGAATAAATACATCAAGAATATATAGAGACTTTTATGAATACGGCTTGATAAAACCCGTTATAAATAGATCAATTGAATTCGGCAGCCGTCTTTTAGGTGTGTTTTGTAAATCTTTACACATACAAAAACTGGTTTATTTTTTGTTGCAGTTTCATATCAGACATAATTTACAAGAATTATAAAGGATAACAGAGCTATTAGGGATCTAGGTAAAAAGCGAAGGCTTGTACAAGACCCTGTGATTACAAGTTAGCATAGAAGTACACTGAAATAGAGCAGTAAACTAGTAATTTATCAAGTGAACTCTAATTTATCAAGTAAACTGTGAATATATAAGTAAGTTACAATAAAGTAAGTTCGTTCAAAAGAAATTAATTAAATATAAAATAGGTTCGTTCAAATTAAATTAACGAAAATTAAGCACGCTCGTATACATATATTAAGACATACTTCAAAATAATGTAACATTTTCTTTCTCGTCAATAAAAAAACCAAAAAAACTGAAAGCAAAAAAGACAATTGCAGGAAATATCCACACCATTCTCTATGGTGTTGAACTTCCCTTCCAAAATGCAAGTCATACCCGCCAGATAAGCAAATAATTATCACAGCTTTCACAATCATTTCACACGTCAAATCTATCCCATTGGAATCGCGTGATACTTTTGAACCCGGAAATAAGTACATTTATTTATATGATACTTTTGCTTTTCCACTTTATAGTTTAGCTGGCGGTTTTTATGACTTATAAACTCCCATCATCAATTGCAAAGTGAATGCCTTTGAAACAAAAATAAGTTAACTGTATACTTTAATTTGACGAATAAGCTTTGTGCATGTTCCAAACAGCACAAAAACAAGCACCCAGCTAGCAAGCAAACAAGCAAGGAAGCTAGCCAACTATCTAGCATCAGCAGGCAAGCTAAAAACTTTATTTACGTGTCGGCCATATTAAATTGAAAGCGAGGTAAACTCTTCATTTTGGGAACATGCGAGTGGAAATGAAAGCAATGAAATAAATGTTCATTACAAAATATTACTAGTCTGCTCTAATGAATAATTTAAAATTTGTGATTAAACATACTCTTAATGTTTTAAGATAGCTTTGAATGCACTCCCATTTAGGGAACACGGTCGAAAATGGCTTCCTCGTGAATAAGGTTTATAGCTAGCAAGCAGCAGGCAAGCTAGCTAACTAGCTAACAGCAGGCAAGTAGCCAGCTAGCTGTCTTGCTATGTTAGAACGTTGGGCAAAAAAATGCCCAACTTATTGCCCAACGTTGATTTAATATTCAACATGAACATCTATTGTGCAATTATTACCCAACGGTCGTTGGGCAAAGTCTTTACTAAATAATTAAGCAAACAACTTACTCAAAAGTTGGTTATGTACTACTGTCCAACCCTTTGTTGGCCGAGTGTGCCCAAGGATTGGTCATTATAGGTTTCCCATTTTTCGGGCAGTAACAGTTACCCAATTGTTGGCTAATCATTTTTGCTCATTTATTGGGGAATTCAGAACGACTGCTTAGTAGTTGGGATCCAGCTGTACAATAATTAGGCAACTGTGTATCCAGTTTACGACCACTTGTTGGTAAATTCTTGTACATTTTTATAAATTGTTGGGCATAAATCCATTGCAAAAGCTCAGTTGTTGGGACTTGATTCAACCAAAAATGGGCATTTTTTATCCAACAGTTAGTTAGCACAGACTTTAATAAATGACTTCTGAAAAAAAATGTTTATTTCGTTTTTCCCTCTTTATTTATGAACACCAAACAAACAATGCAGCAAATCCTCAGTTCAAAAATAAATACATAAAATAAAGATTCACAAAAATCTCAATTTCTAATAAAAACACTCGTTGGCTAAACAAAAGCCTCACTTCTAACTACTTCATCTAACTGAAAAGCTCAAATCAAAATTGAAAGTAAAAAGTCAATAATATGGAAACTGTTGTGAATGCACCAAGAGCTGCTTTACTTCTAATTAGATCTCTCATTCCTGTTGACGTCTACAAAACACATTTATTACCGTGCCTGTTTGAGTTTTCATTTTGATTTTACTCTCAAATACATCATTTCTTTAAATTTACTTGCGGCAGAAGTTCTTTAAGCTTCTTACAAATAAAACGAAAAGAAAACAGCATTATCCTTTCATTAAATGTCCCACACTGGTCGGAACTACAACAAAGCTTACAAATTTGCAATCAAAACTTATTTTTCTCTGATTCTGAGACTTTAGACAGCTTTTCTTGGAGTTAGAGGGGGAAGGAAACAGCTTGGTACTTGCAGTCGAGAACAAAGTGCGCTAGGGCTTTTGTGGCGGATGGTCGTGGTATGGTCTGCTTCAATTGTGATCCACTACTCAGTGAACTTCGCTCCCAAATACCATCTTCACCCTGTCAGCAACTGTCTTTCATTATCTGTATAGATGAGAAGGTGTAAACAAAATTAAATCGGTCTGTCTAGCTGATTAGCATAATTATGTGGATAACTGTAATATTGTGGATAATTTTATTGTAGGTAGAAAAAGCCTCCTACAATGCTTGGAGAATTATTGAGGAGCGTACCCCAATCCTTGGGTAGAATAGGAGTATATCGTGCCCAATCTGGCCCGGCCCTCGGGCAGAACAGGAGCACGTAACCCATCTTTTCGGGACTGAATAGAAGCAAAGAGTTGGGGAGATAACGGCATGTGTACCAAACCTTTTGGAATAAAAGAACCACGTACCCAATATCTGAGGAGAATGGGAGCATAACACCCAATCATTAGACAGTATAGGATCGTACATGTTCCCAATCTTTGGGGAGCTAGGAGAGACCTACCCAACCCTGCTAGTGCTAAATCCAATGTTCATATCATTATGACATATATCTCCAAAAATATTTCAGGGAATATCACATGAAACGAGTCATGAATCAGTAATAAGACTTTGGGACACACATTATAATGCAATTGTTGGGTTAACAGTACGGTATGGATAACGTTAAACCTAGCATATCACTGCGATAATGTACAGAAGCCGTGTGCTATTCGGAGCAACACTGTACTGTGCTTTCAGACAGGCAAACATATTCCTGTATCATGAATTCTCTCTTTATAATATAGGAACCTGTACTTTAAAATTCCGAGACATGTTGTACAATTCTTACCTATGAAAACGTCAATAAGTCGTTAACGCCCCGCTCTTCCACAACTTCAGCACTTGACGACCCGCCACTGCCGCTCATTAGCTGTGTTTGCGTGGCCGGCTTACTATTACATGATAATACTATAAGCGTTTGCATGCACAACCTGCATGCAGGCCGACGAATTCCCTGCAGTTGGATATTACCGTATACTATTAACTGGGCAATTTTTATCCAACTTATCTAGCTAAAAATGTACCCAACGCTGGGCGTTTATTTTCCTTACCCAACCCAAAATTTTACTCAATTGTTGAACAAAAATGCACCAACAAATCGCAAATTGAGTTTACCCAGTACTATTCTGCCCAGCATTTTTAACAGTGTAGCAAGCAGCAGACAAGCTAGCTAGCTTGCTAGCTAACTAGCAGGCAGCAGCCAAGAAGCCAACTAGCTATCTAGCTAGCAAGCAGCAGGCAAGCTATATAGCTTGCTAGCTTAACTAGCAAGCAGCAGGCAAGTATCCAGCTAGCTATCTAGGCAGCAGGCAAGCTAGCTGGCTAGCTAGCTATCTAACTAACAAGCAGCAGGCACGTAGCTAGCTAGCTAGCTCGATAACTTTAGCAAACCTGATGGAAAAACACGACATTAAAAGCGTATTGGGATTAGGTGTCACAGTAAAAACTGTTTTAACGCTACGCGTATGTCAACATGTTGTGTAGGCGAATTCTTTGTATAATCATTACAAGCGCAAAGTCACAAACCAGGCCTTAATACCATAGCCATGAATATTTCAAGATTGGTACAGCTTATTTGGCTGAATCCCTAAAATTGCCTCGCTCCCCCTTTCCCTGTGACTTAGGGCCAAAACTCGATTTCTTCTAGTTGTAGGCAGTAACGAAAGAGAAAAACAAACCTGGTGTGTCGGTGTTCAGTCAGCTGCTAACCGTCCGGATGATCCTTTAATATTAATTCCCTGCAGTGTTTTCCCATCATGACACAATAGTGGTGTTGGTTCATGGTAGATAGGCTTTGCGGTTTTATGCCAGGAAATGAGTTTGAACTTAGTGCGTGGGCAGTGTAGCTCTTTCACTTTGTGACAGAAAACATAGTTTAAAGGGCCAGTTTTGTAGTGAAATTCCTGCGCAGTGTGGCCAGTAGGTTTTTTATTTTAAAGGGACGCTCTCCTTTAAACTTGTGTAATGGGTGTAAATCGTGGAAGTTGGTGAGTGTTGTGTTGAGGGTTTATCAGCAACTGAATCCAGTATTTCATCATCTTACCGTATTGCTTAGTTATGCAACAACATCCATGTATTTGGATTTTCGGCCTATTTGCCTAACGTAGCAGGAATCTATCATTAATGAATTTGTTGTGTTCACTTTAGTTCAAACCTCTGTGTGGCCCGTTTCCGGGCGAAAATCCCCGTGAAACTGCCCTTTTTTCGACGTTTTTAGTCATAGTTTGATAACCAAGCGGTCTTTTTCAATGGGGTTAAACGGTTCTATACAATTTAACTCTTTGTCTTTCTCATGATTTATTTTATATTTCTTTATTTTGAACAAAATCCACCTACTTTCAGCTTTGAAAATGTGAACTTTTCATCATTTTCCTGTGTGAACGCACCGTTGGAGCGCCCTCGCGTCGACTCTTTTGACTGTAACTCCTGACTGGAGTATCGAATTGTGTGAGGTTAAACGGAATCGAATAGCTTAGCTCCTCCTCTTTCCTTATATGTAAAACTTGTTTTGATTGGTTGAAAAAAAAACCTCCGTACTTTTCACAAAGAAAAAAAGTGGCCAATGACAACTTTCGATCGATGAGGCATTGTTCGACACTTACATCGATGTACCGATGCTTACAACGCGTTTCATGATCTTGGACTCTGCTCATCGCCCGTTTTACAGGACATGTTTTCTCGATCTCCAATTCTACTTGAGATAAAACATTTAAAAACTATCCATTTGTAAAACAGTTATCTGGGATTTAAACTGTGTTCTTTTTATGAGTTAATTTCGTTTTGAAATAATGTAAATTTGGACCTGAATACAGTTCACTTCAAGGCAGTTATAGACATTTGTGATGGAAAGAACGTGCCTTGTTTATTGGGCCGTACCATTTTGTATGTGGGGAGGATACCTATATGCATGTACCGAACGTGAACGTTGGATTTCTTGAAGGATACAGACAAGTAAAAGGGTATTTATGTCAAGTTTAACAAAATCGGACAAGATTTTACTCTAGAACATACCTTAACATTGATATGTGCACAAAGCCTATATGTACATTGTACTGTAAAGTTTTGTTGTATCCATCTTATGAATGGAGTGTGCCGGCCCACATTTTAGGGTCGAACGTACAGCCGCACTGGCCAGCGTTAATCCGATTATGTAACCCTGGACCTCTGGGTAATACTCTGCGCGCCAGATTTAAACTGTGAAATAAAGTGAACAAAAGTGGGGGCAACAAATTCATATGCGGGCTATGGGTGCGTTCGAGTAGCCTACACGTGATCCTCTTGTCTGCCCCTCTTGTGGCTGCCCGGTTTGATGACGAATTGGTGGCTCGCTAGATTGAAGATTAGATGGCGAGAACTTGAATGCGATTTGAGTACAATTGGGAGACATATTTTTGATAATTCAGAGCAAAGGCCTATCTAGTAATTCCATTATTGATATTGATCTGGTTGTAATAATGAAATTAAGTTTATTTTATCAGTGGAGCAGATGACAGTATGCCTGGTGCGTTTACAGAAAAACAGTCTCGCCGCGCAACCTTTGACTTAAATACTTTTCTCAGAATGTTTTTAGACGAATACACTGCAGCGTTTGATTTATAGCCTCATTTCGTTCTTTCTCGTTTGTACATTTCGTGTACACAGGGTGAGTCAAAACAAAACGAAACCAAATGTGGGGACCAATTGTTTTAGGGAAGTTCTAAATGTAGCATTTTCAAAATCTAGGATGTGAAACCCTATTCATAAGCATTCTTTTAGTACAAGAATCATTCAAATCACTCATGTTCTTTTCAAGTTACGAAATTTTAAACACAACCACTGTTTTAAGGTTCTGTCCGCGGATCACAAAAAAAGTGTGCGTTCTTTTGGCAAAACGAAAAGAAATCACATAATAAAAGCCAACCTCGTTCCTAGGGTGTCGGGCAGTACGCGCCCACCACTACCTGCTCTCTCACCCTGGTATTTGCATGTGGAAGGTTTTTGAACACGTATGCAAATGAGGAATAGTCTAGTGCCTGCATGTGCGTTACATTAGCGTTTGTTTTTGTATGCGGTGTCTGGGGTAAAACGAATATTTGGGTAAAACAACATCAATTCGTCGCGCCGTGAGTTATGAAAACACGATTTTTTTGGAAATTAAAATGTTACAATCTGGCCCGCCAATATGCAGTATCATGATCACATTTCATATATTAATATGAGCAAACTGGAAATTAAGGCGTGGACGTTATAATTACAATGATCGTGAAAACACGTAATGCACGTTGGAAATAGCAACACCAACTACACGATATAAATCCATTACTGGCAAATTGCGATATCGAATCAGGATACAAGAAGAAATTTTCCTATCCAGGGCTATTGGAAACGAGGTTGGAAATAAAGTAAACGGCACTGGGGATGAGGTTGAATAAAAGCGCCCACGGGCATAAAAAAAAAGGAAAAGCTTTATTATTGCGTTTACGACGGTGGACCAATTGACGAATGCACGTACAGAAACTTACTCGCGCAACTGAAAGCGATTGTAGGAAACGACCCCGCTACTGGACTTAGTGTGCACGGCTACAGCGATGCGGTATAGCCATTTGGTATCATGGCGCTGTTGGATCTTCGCCCCTTCCTCAAGAAATACCGCGGATGCTTCATGGTGTACATTGCATTCGTGGAGCTGTTTATTGCACTGGGTCCGCCGTACGGCTACACCATTTTATTCGCTCGTCTTCAGGACGAATTTGGAGCAGGGGCTGCCCTCACAGGTACGTTATTAAACTTATCATCAATGGAGGACATGTACGTATACATGTGCAATTCATTCTACTTTACATGTAGTCATTTTTTCACATGTTTTTTAATCACCACCTACTGAAATTAGTGCAAATGCAAGGAGCATTTCGCCGACATATCCCAACCATAAATTGTCAGGATACGAGCAAAAGCTGGGGGAAAAATCTCCTTGATGACACTTTGTATTCTGAATACATGTACGTGTACATGTACATATACAACAACCTCTAGTCTTGGCAGTTTTGAAGTATGTGTGTTATACAGTACACATACTGTACATTTTGTACACAGGGCTATGCAGTGTATAGTGCTAACTTCACAATTGAAGTCTACAGCACACTTTTGGTGGGGTGTGATGCGAGAGGAGGCTTAATTCTTATTAGTTAAATCCCCTTTGAATGTATCTGCAGTTGGTGCCAAATACATGTGACCTTGACAGGGCTACGCTGTGTATGACCTCGACTAATAATATATGCAGAGCATCATAACATTTGGTCATAACAAAACTTTGTCAGGTGATTTTGCGTCCTTCGTCTTGAAATGAGGTAATGCCAAGTGTTAATCTAATCAGGAACAAGAATTAGGGTGTTTTTCTTCTTCTGAGATATACTGTCAAATATTTCCAAAAAGTGAAACTATAACACACTGACTGCGTCGGCTATAAGAGTGACAATCACTCTAATTTTAGATTGGCGAACACTTTACAGGCATCCATCCGACCTTGGAAACTGAGTGAAAACTCGATTATAGTTTTATTCCATGGGTCGGAGTAAAGTTTCACTATTTGGAAAAAAGAGAGTACCATCGGTTTCATTTTTTTGTGGGGGTAACGAAAGTAAAATGTACCTATAATATTTTAGGGGTGACTGATCACGCACTGATTAAGTGCGTGCATCGTACTCTGAATAACAAAGGGCATTCAATATAACCTTGGGGGGAGGGGGGCACCACGTTACATTAGGGGCGCTCTTCAGGATATCATGTATATCAACATGTATATCGACATGTGCACTTGCGCTTATATCAAAACAGCATTTGTACTTTGCCCACTTTTCAGTGCTATTGAATACATTTTGGTCGTTGGGATGTTGGAAATATATCTCAAAATCCTCATTTTTTATCACGAAAAAAGTGGAGATGAGGCAATAGCCCAACCCCCCTCCCCGGTCGAAAAGTGTTTGCGTGTGGGGGATATATACCCCTTCCCCCGGGATTTACTCCCCGGATTATCTGACTTAACTCTTATCTTAAGACAACAATAGTTTGTGGAAATAAGATCCCTGGTTTGCCAATTTTTGAATAAGTGTATATTCGTACAATCTATTCAACTTCGCCGGGCCTTTGCTTGCATCAAGATGCTATTGCTAGCCCGTCGGTGATGTTCCACCCATCACATGCACAGTACATTGTGCTCATGGAAAGTCACACACACACCGACATTAAAAATCACTGGCGGTTAGTGCGAACACACATTCTCAAATTTGTATCCTTGTGGAGACATTTCTTTGTTCCCGTGTAGTAAAGTTTTTGAGTTGGAAAGTGAAGTTTCAAAATGCTCATATTTTAACCAGAATTAATGTCCTTGGCTGAAATTCGGACCTAATGTCCCTTTTCTAAAACTCTTCCATTTGCGACCGATCCAATTTTTGAGTAAAATCCATATATCTTTTTCGTGAAAACCTTGTGGAGACCTATTCATCTATAGAAATTGCCCAGTGGAGACCTATACAATATTTTGTTCCCTATTGCGGAAATGTCTCCACAAGTACACAAATTTGCGCTCAAAATCACTGGTGGTTAGTGCGAAAACACTGTCTTATCTTACTCCACTGATGCTAAATGAAGTTTATGCTTGTATGTAACAGTTACGGTATTATACTGGAAAATGCTTCAATGCTGTCTTAAAATAAAAAAATAAAAACCTGGTAATAATGTCCGCCTGTGCACAACAAAATACGGGCAGAGCCAGCTTGGTTAGGGGATATTTGTACACTATTCTGTAATGTAGTGTAAATAATCGTCACATTTTATACAGCGCCCCCATTGAAAGTATATGGTACGCGCATCGAGCTATATTAAATTAAATATACCTCTAGCTCTATGGGCTCAAAGATATCGGAGGCCAAGTGTCCGGAGAAAAAAAAACCTGTCTAATTTTCAGAATTGGTTTGCGATGAAACCCCCCCCCCCCCCCGGCACAATTTTTTGGCTCCGATTCCGCCCCTGTTCATTGAGCTACAACTTTATCAGGTTAAGTTCAACACCCTTCTTTAGATTTTAAACACTTTTTTGTTGCTTCAAACGAAAAATATGCACCAAATGACAAATGATATCGGCCGGCTCTACTTTTAAGTGGCGTTTTGGGGCTAGTTAAGTCAGGACAGTCGTAAAAGAATTCAGGATGAAATATGTTTTCCTTTAACCGCGCTGTCTTCGTATCGTTCGCAGGATGGGTAGGGTCCCTCGCAACCACTTTAGTCTTTTGTAGCCCTGTATCGCCCCTCCTGCTTCAGCGATTGGGCCCCCGGGCAGTGGCTCTTCTAGGTACCGTGGTTTTCAGCGCTGGCCTGGTAGCAACCTCCTTCGTGCCCGCCCTCCCCTACGCCTTTCTCACCTTCGGTGTTTTGGTCGGTGTTGGAGGGAACTTCCTGGTGCAGTCGGTTGTCTTGGTCGTTTTCAAGTGGTTTCCTGGAAGGAATTGCTCCCGGGCTACATCCATAGCGTGGCTTGGAACACCTTTCGGTAAATAAAAAATAAATGTTTATCCATTCACAAGATTTTACAGCATGAAAACTCAAGTTCTTTTTCGTTCTTGAGTTCATCTCCTATCAACATATTTTTAGCGAAGAGGGCGCTAGAACTGCGCCATTCTCTATGTACAAACAGTTTTAAAAAAAACCCACTTTTTGAAGCATTTTAGTAGCTGTAATTCCGAATCCAGAAATGTGTGATTGCAAAAAATGTAATAAGTGCATGAAGTAAACTTGCGTCAGTAACCTGGCTTTATTTGCGTTTATAAGTGACCCTCAAACTCAACGACTGTTTCATGTTGTGCTTTAACAGGTACCTTGGCATTTGCCCCACTGCTTACCAGGCTTATTACGGCATATGGTTGGCGCAACTGCCTGCGAATAGTTGCAGGGGGTAGCTTCGTATTGAGCGTAGCACACGCAGCATTTATAGCGCTTCCAAATGAAAAGACGGAAAACCGGGAAACGCCAGAGTCCAAGACCATCGATGAACATGAAACGGTCGTCGACGACAACGCGCACTCAGCCGCTGCTAAGGAATGTCAAACGGCCGAGATCGATGACCACGCCCCCAGGAACCTACGTCATCAAATCGGCAAACTTCTGCTTCAACTGGACACCTGGGCGTGGCTGTTTGGTTTTTTGATGAGTAACATAGGATGGACATTTGTCGTGATCAATTACGTAAGGAGACAAGACGGTATAGTACATTTTTATTTCAAAAATTTGAATTTCCTTTCGGCGATCATAACGAGTTTTTATCATCCTGGCTGCAAGCCGGAGGAGATTTTGTGATCGCGTGTTTGTGTGTGTCTGTGTGTGTAAGTTATGTTTTGACTAGGTTAACTCTTGTCAGCACGATATCTTGAGAAATACTTCACTTAGGAACTTGAAATTTGGTTTGTGGGTTGTTCTTGGTAGTCTTAAGAAGCCCATTGCTTTCGGGGCCAACAAGTCAAAGGTCAAGGTCACTACTGCTAAAACAATAGAAACATTGTCAGCACGATAAATTGAGAAATACTTTACTTGGGAATTTGAAATTTGGTTTATGGGTTCTTGGTAGAAGAAGCCCATTGCTTTTGGGGCCGACGGGTCAAAGGTCTAGGTCATTAGTGCTAAAGCAATAGAAACATTGTCAGCGCGATAACTTGAAAAATACTTTACTTAGGAACTTCAAATTTGGTTTGTGGGTTGTTCTTGGTAGTCTTATCAAGCCTATTGCTTTTGGGGCCGACAGATCAGAGGTCAAGTTCTCTATTGCTTAAACGATAGAAATCTTCCATTTTAGTTAGGGACACTGACAAGTGTCCGTACTAACTGACTATATAAAAACTGCCAGAATGCCAGGGGGATCGCGCAAGTTTCACTTGCAGTATTTTTAGATTTACATGTATCAACTAAAACTCGTTGGGATAAACCAGAGGGAAAAGAGAGAGAATTGTAATGCCTGTGTATGAACAGAACACATTTCTTCTCCGGTTCTCTCTTTACCAGCCTTTATCATATAAGCCTATATTATTCCATTTAGGACATGCGTCCCAATCTTGTGTAATTTCAATATTGTATCATTTCAAAGTTAAAGCTTTCAATTTAAAGTTTCAAATTTGACTTCCTTCCATGCCACTGCGAGCATTTGAAGCTCTGTCTTTTTCAAAATTTCAAAGAAATTGAGACACCTGAACGTGAAGTTTTTGTATTTCAAAAGATGTCATTTTTCCCCGAGACTTTTTGGTTTGGGATGAGTTTAAGAAACAGTGCTAGTTTGGTTGCTGAGTCTTGATGACGGTCGGAACTCTTTGACCGAAACGTCGAACTAAATGCAATTTTATTTATTATTATTAACTACCTCTCTCAGAGACAGCCATTCCACGTGGTGTTCCATTTGATACTGCATAAAAACAACACGAAAAATGAAGTTCCTCTTATATCCAATGTTCTTTTATTCACCATCTTAGGCCAGTTTTATGGAGTACGATCTTCACCTTACCCCGGACCAGATCACCGTGGCGTTAGTCCTGGCGGCAGGAGGCGAGATCGTCGGCAAGATTCTGTTCTCCATCTTCGGTGATCGCTTGCCGTGCCTCAAGCTGTATGTCGTGGCTGCGACAGGCTTTCTAGCGGCACTGATGTCGGGCCTGATGACTGTTTTGAAGACTCTTTCACTCGTGTACATAATCTCGTTCGGTAAGTTTAAATAACAATAAAAGGATGAATTTGCATAATTATTATTAATCTCAGATGTAAAGACTTTACCATCTCTGTCCACTGACTTAAACCGAAAAATCAAAGTCCTTTCTACTCCATGTACCCGAATATAGAACGCAATGTTGTCAATCAAGCAGTTACCTACACCGAGCAGGGTTTAATTATAGAACAGTTATCAGGAATGTGAGGGTTTTTTTTGTTCTCTGAAAGATATAGTCCATCATTTGTAATTTTTTTTGTGCATTTTGTTCATTTTAGGCAACAAAAGTGTTCAAAATCTAATGAAGGACACTGAACAACTAACCTGATGAAGTGTCAGCTCAGCTTCAGCTGTGTATTCCGAGAAAAACAGCATTCTAGGATCTCAATTTCAAATCAAAAATTGCTGAATCATGTTTTGAATTGTTTTGAATTGCAGCTATACGCGATGTCGCGCACTGATCCGACGAATTATAGCAACCGCGCGCGCCTGTGCGTCGTGCCAATGCTTGCGCGCGCTGCGCCGAATAACAAAACGAACTACTAATTTAAATTTTCCAAGACGCACCGTTGGAAAGACCTTCTTTCGTTGATTACTTCAAAATGACAGCTTGCCAGAAAGAATAATTTCACAGGGAGTTAAGTCCACTTACTATCTTTCAACCAAATATGTTTTTCAACAACAATACGCCAGTTACTTTTTCGGATGGCTGCAAATGATGGACTATAGCTTTAACTTATTGGATTTTTTTATATTTAATGTTTTATCGTATCTTTTAATTGCTTACTTTTTGTTGTGCTTAATTTTGGCTTGTTGTATTAATTGAAACTAACATTTTTGTCTATGAGCTTGTTGTGTGATATAAAAAATAATAAAATGGAAAGGAATTATATCTTTATTGGGCACTTGTTTAATTTGCCTTTTTAATTTGATCGAACGGTATAACATGTGAACATTGTATTAACTAGTCGGTTGTGTGTTTTCATCCCACTCAAAAGACGCTAAGTCGCTTTTGTAACAAGCTTTCGTCAACACTGGGTTATCATAGTGCTTTAATTTACAGCTTAGAACAACAACTAAGCAGGTTTTTTTTTTATTTGCCCACATTTTGTAGTTGTTGGAATGATACGGGGTGTTTCATACGTCTCTCCCTGCCCGGCCACAATGGAACTTTTCGGCGACTACGGTTCGAATGTTGTCACCGCACTATTCATGATTCCAATGGGAGCTGGAATCTTGGTTGGTGCCCCTCTGACAGGTCAGTGTTGAATGTACTTACGACCCTTGACCTTAGGTCAGTGCTGATTGTCCTCACGACCTTTGACCTTCGGTTGCTAAATATATAATATTCTACGCATACATATATGGAGACCTTATTTCCAAAATGATATCGTGACTTTATTTCTTAAACATCACAATTTCATGGAGAACATGATTTAACTTTTTGAAGGCAAATTCATTACAATTTCAACGAGAGCATGTGGCCTATAAGCGATCCATGATCCATGCGTCGGCGAGTGCGCGAAAATTGCCTGTTGTTTAAGACGAGGTGTCGGATGATACGAGATAATGTCATAAGTCCCAAGGACCTCCTATTAGCGAGAGTCGACTGTATACGCCATTTTGTTACCTTTTAGAATCCTGCTCTCTCCTGGCTGCCCAAAAGCAATTTCGACGGCTGTTGTATGCTTAAACACAACTTGAGAACACAGTGAGACGAGAAATTAAGTCAAGAAACAGCTGTTATAGTGTTTTCATTTTTTAAAGTTTCATAACCGTGAATCTTTTTCACTTGTATCAAATGGATGTGTCGGGGTTTTGGAAAAAAGCTTTTTAATGCATACTTCACGTGGCTAATCGGATTATAGATGACACGTTGTAAGGTATGGCACATAGCACCCAAATCCATTCTTGTAACAATTCCGCACTCGCCTGATGTGTTAAAAAAAAATCAGTCATTCTGTGCAGAAGAAACCTTGACATTAATGCGAATTTCAGCAGACTAAGCATAAATTCCCATTAAGGTTTGCGGAAACACCATGTGCGAATAATTTCTCAACTAAGAGAATGGTTCTGAAAAGAACCAGAGGTATGAACTCGACGTTCCGCTCAGTAGACTTCTGTTCCACTTCAGTGGGCACCAAGCTTGCTCTAGGATCCCAGCCACTTGGCATCCACACAGGATGCAACTTCACACTTCATCGATTTCGCTTTTGCACCTTAAGTGTTTACTTTCTTAGAGTTTAGGCACTCTCCTGAAGACGGTCAGAGCAAGTCCTTGCTCTATGGTCAGAGCATACTGACCGGAACGTCGAGTTTATACCTCTGGTTCTTTTCAGAACCATTCTCTTATTAGTTGAGAAATTATTCGCACATGGTGTTTCCGCATACCTTTCATTATTTGGTATCTCCACCATGCAAAGCCTCAAATCTTACTTATAAATTCCCAGTGTTGAAGCAATTGACTGCAAACAAATATATGAGGCATTGAGATAATACAAGGTTAGGGCTATTCAACCTTGAGGAAATGGTACCTGTTTGACAGTGGAGGAAAAACAGAAGTCAAGTATATTTCGACAGCACCCAGCTCCAAACTGCGATCGTCATATATTTTTTTCTTTCGAGTTGTTTTGTATAGTCTCGTCTACGAAACCCCTTGCTTTCAGGTGGCCTCTACGACTTGAAAGGAGACTACACGCTGAGCCTGTACGTTACTGTAGGTGTGTTCGTGTGTGCTGCTCTCAGTATGCTGTCTATACCAATCAGACGACGGTTGCGATCGGGAACGAACACATCTGATCGCGTGTGTCGATCAGAGACAGAGACCCAGGGTGTATATCGATCAACGACAACTGCGCAAATTTCACTCGACAATCCCGTCTTTGAAGGGTCCAGAACTGATGATGACCGTGTTTTATCAGGGATATGAAAAAAAACCAGGCTGCCGATGAGACTACCTCATTCATTCATTTGTTCGTTCGTTCGTTCGTTCATTCATTCATTAGACACGGTCATTAATTTTGCCCGGGGTTTCCTCCTCAAATTGTACATATCCTGAATCACTGGCTCCGCTCCCAACGCAGCCCACCGCAGTGTTGCTGCTTTCAGTTCTTGTTCTACCTTATGATCAGAAGAAAAAAATAACAAATCTCCAGAAAGTTTAGAATCTGTCCACGTCAGGTCGGCTGAAGTCAATACAAATGTATATCGTCTGGTTATTTATATGGCCCTACATTGGGCCGCTTAATACCCCCTCCCGAAACGTAATTTTGTCATCTTTATCGTAGTAAGATCTGCCTAAAACTATGATCCCAAAACGAAGAATATCACACCAAAAATTGCAGAAAATTACAATTGGTTTTTTTTGCGCCATAGTCCTGTTGTACTTGGAAATGCACTGCAGTTGATGAATTGACATCGCTTCGTGATTTAAGCTGTATACCTGACAGATTCGGGAAAGGATAACTTGTTTTTGACGAACACAAAAATGAATATGTCCCGGTATTTATATACAATGTAAAAGGTAAAGGTAAAGGGGATGAACCTGTGTTCACAAGAACGGAGTGCCCATCTCTCTTTCGAAGCGATTGGGCCAGACTCGATGTAATGCTGCTGCTGTGAGGGGATCGCCACACCTCCTCCACAGCGAGTCTGTTACCTTCCCAGCATTGAATAATGCCGGTACCCATTTAACACCTGGGTTGAGAGGAGTAATTGAGGTAAAGCACCTTACTCAAGGGCACAACACGCATGGCCACGGCGGGGCTCGAACCCACAATACCACGATCATGGGGCCTGTGCTCTACCGCTATTTAACACGTTTTTATATTTAAAAAGAAAATAACAAAGTTTTTATATAAAATATTTTATTTTAAAAGTTTTGTTTATATTTAACAAGAAAATAACTAAAAGTTATTGTTACCAAGGCATGTTAATGACTGTGAATGGACCAGCTTTCTTATTAATACAGTTTCCCGCTCTAATTAGTCTGAAATATATTCATATTCATGTTTGAAAGTACGTATTCATGCGATTGCGATCATGTTGCTACTTACTTGGTTCGTTTTAATGTTATGGCGTTCAACTCGGTTTATAGAGATTTGCCAACACATCCATATTGTGTCATTCGATTAAATATCACCCAATCGTCATTTAATTCGGAACACTTTGATTTAATGCGGTTTCTACCTTTGATGCTTACTTTCCTTTTCGTTTATGAGCAATCTATTTAGCCATTTATGAGCACTATTGTCATATTTTCTCGATTGCATGCTCGAAAAACTTTTCCATACAATAGTCCTTATACAGAATACATATTTTGGCTCAAGAATGAAATAAACATATATTACAAAATTGAAAAAAGTGTGTATTTTGCTTAGCCCATAGCCTATGCGACCGAATAAAACTATCATATTAGAAATCAGTTAATGTCGATGTGCCCTACTTTATTTCAACCTCGGTATCATAGAGCAGCTGGTTGTAGGGTATTTAGTGTCGAGGGGAACGAGGTTGATTCACACTCGCCACTTTCCACACTGGATAGTCTGGTTCCCAGACCTAAACTGTGGATTCCGACTATTCGAGGTCAGCCTGAGAGAAGCACTTATATACGCATGTAACGTGACCAAAAAAGGCATATTTTTGCCCTTTAAAAAAAAAGAGACATATCGTTTTCTTTTCCAAAATTGCGATGGGCTTTATACTACTATCAGGGGTGATCATATTAGGATGGACATTTCTGAGCTTTAATTTGACGTGTGTCTCAAACACCTTGGAGAGTTGTGAGTATTTTTTTCATGATTTTGGAGTAATTATTGCGGTCTATGACAATTTATTTACTACTTTACAACCGTAACCCGAATGGATTCTTGCATAATGGCTTATTTATGTCCATTGTGATGATTCCTGTAGTAGGAATTCAAAGCACTCTGGGTAAAGCTTTTGTTGAGCGTCGTTAGAAACCATGGACTATCCAGAATGATGAATGACTCTGCTAAACTCTTTGTTAGATGGGCGATAACGGCCCGTACAGGTGGGAATACCTTGAAAATCTTGCCCTCTCTCAAAAAAAAGATGACCCAGACAGCTAATCGCTTGCGCGCGTTGGCTATCAAATTTGACCTGCGGGAGGCGCTGCGCCTCCGGGTTTGGGCTCCGTAGCCACCAGAGGAGTTATCAGAGGCGCCCGTATCATCGCCATATTTTTTCTTTCTTTTTATTAATTTCCTTTCTGCATTGGGGGAGACGTCGTCATCGTTTTCGATGGACACCCATAACTAGAGCTCTGAACAGGCGTTCATCCTTCAACCCACCACCCTCATACATGGGACAGTGAATGAAATAATCTGCACCCTTACGTTCAGTAATTCGTAGCCTTAGCGGACGGACCCCTTTTGTAATTAATACTTCCATGTTTAGACGACTTGCTGAATGGTGCAATTGTATACAGAGATACGATACGTGAGGCATCTTATAATGATGACTTCAGGACCAACCAACTGGATATATTGAGTACTTCCCACCACAATGGTGAAGCCAAAAGTACTGCGGTTTTCTCTGTGGTATTTAGTACTGACCACGTGCTTGCATGGATTCCTGTAGCTGTCGTCATTTTGTCATGCAAAATGCAATTTGGGATTACATGTATATTCAAAGTTACATAATAATACAGCAAATATGAAAGACCGTTTAGATCTCTACATCATTTGTTGTGAATTAGCCACTGGAAAACACAGTACAAAATAACTTTATTTAAGTTTAATAACTATTCAAAATCTGCACCTGTGGTTTTTAGTATTTTACGACGATGGAAAAAAAAACATTTTTAAAGTTCTTTATCCTTTTTTCCCCGGCATATTTTTAAAGTTATATTTCATTGTCATAGTGCTAGCCCAGGGCGGATAGGCATCATGTCTTTTTGCTATCAGTCTTTATGTTATCATTTTAAAAATTATTGTGTTTTACAGGCATGTTTCATTCATAGGTTAATTTAAGTGTAAGTTTTACTATTGTCAGTTCTTGCATGCTGTTTTTACTGTTTGTACTCTTTGATTTACACCAGGACAAGAATGTGTTTGTTTTTAACTTAGATGACTAATACAAGTACGAATATGAATGTTCACCACTTGTCAATAATGTCGAGAAGTTATAACAACAAAGGCATGAAAATAAAAGGAAATACACTTGATGCCAACTTCACGAAAGGGGTAGATCATGGGGGCAATTCCGAAGAGTCGTCAAAGAACAGACGCAAAACAAACAATCCAGATTATAATCTCCCCCAGGCTAATACATAGTCAAAAACCCGTTCTTTAAAAATCGAATCAGAGTAAGTAAGCAGTAAGCAGTAAGCATGACAAGTCTTTTAAAAAATAGTTTTGAAATTTTTGAATCAAATTGCAAAAGGTTTTCAGCGTTTTTACGGAGGGACTAAATTATCAATCCAAAAATCATACCTTTTTTCAAAATTCTTGTTCCGGCTGAAATTGCACGCAACGAACATTTTTTGGAAAGAAGTCTGGGTCAAAATCAGATAAAATCAACGAAATCATAACAATCAAATCAATGTTGAGAAAACTTCACCTGAATGTCTTTTGATTTTTTACGAAGAGACAAATTCGTGCAAAGGGTGGGGAATGGGTATCGGCAATTTGCCAAAACAACAAGTGTGTGGGATTTAGTTTTCACGACCAGACAAACATCTATGGGGATTAGTTACGATACCGGTACCTCGCAATTGTTGTTCCATTATTCTGTAATTGGTACATCTTTGAAGTTTCATCTGTGTTTCAAAAGTTAGTCAGTAGTATGCGAAATGTTTATTCCAAATCGTGACCAACTTAAAACCTCTTTTCTGACAACCACTGCAAGTTCAACGGGTGCATTATGTTATACCTGTTCCCCAAACCTAACCCTAACCGTTAAACCCCAACACCTATTGCGGCAAATTCACCCCTTCGTGAAAACGCTGACAAATTGGAATAAGCGAAATCTGGATAAAGTCAACACTGATAACTCAAAACCTGAAAGTCAAACCATCCCTCCATGGTCAAAGAAAACTGCATAGTACTACGAAGTAAAACAATATATATACCCTGATTAACCAAATTTCGAGTTGTTCCGTAGCTGCATGGGAGGCTATACTATCAAGGTTGGGGCCTTAGGCCTATATATCGCAAGTCCGACTCCTCCGATGATAAACCTGGACCCCCGCCACGCCTCGGAAGTCCGAAATTTCCAAATTATTAGGCGTCGGACTGATGAGGTGTCGGACCTAGGCGTCGGAATTTTATAACAGTTATGGGCCTTATATTAGATTTTGCCGGACTTGGGGCCTATATTCGTCTGACATAATTATATGAGGCTTAGCGGAGCCCTTAAGATTTCCCTTTAAGTCCAATGTTATTAAAAGGTCAGAAACGATGGAAAATGATGAATACTCCGAATACAAAATACTCTAAATAATTATGGAGAACTAGTGATCAAAGGCATCTTGTGAGCGAATAGTTCGACAGTACTGATTGTTATTCTCCTCTGATGTCATTGTGTATCGTCTAAACATGAGAATGCAGTTTCTATTTTGTTGGTTTCTGACAAAGGAAGACATTTCAAATACATGTATTTTGCTCCAATTTTTAGAGAAAATATTCTGAACTTGCGGAAAAAGGACCCACCAAGTCAGAACGTCGGCCAAAGAGGCGAAAAAAGATTTTTTTTTTTTGCATGCGGGAGGTGCTTGGTACGCCCACGGGGGTACGGACGTGCGGATCCAGATAATCCACCCTAAGAATTTCTGTGTAATAAGCCATGCTAGAGTAAACTTTTAAATAATAAAACATGAATCAATGAAGTTGGAGGCTCACTCGGATGGCAGGTAAGGGAGCCGCTGGTACGTTCAAGTTTGACACCACCGAGGAGAAAGAGAAGGCTGCCGGCCAAGGCTAATGCAGCTAAGGAGAAGGAGAGAATCAAGGCCAAGAAGGAACGGGAAATGAAAGCCAAGATTGCAGAAAAGCCAAGAAAGCCAAAATGGTGAATAAAGTCAAGAAACCCGCGCCGAAGAAGTCACCCAAGAAAGCTGCCAAGAAAACGCCATCCAAGTCAAATATACATCTGTCAGCCAAGCCAGCCAAGAAGCCAGCCAAGAAGCCAGCCAGCAAGAACACATCGAGCAAGCAGAAGAAAGTGTCGGCCAAGCCTTCGAAGAAATCATCGAATCAACAAACTAAAACCAAAACGGCTCTTTTCAGAGCCACAACATTTTCACAAAATAGATATGAGATATTCGTTTCTGCAATTTGCATTTTTATTAAATTTTATATTTTTCATGATTACTGTTTTTAAGTTTTCGTATAAAGCCCCCCCCCCCAAAAAAAACCCAAAAACATCATTGCATGAAAATAAGATATTTTCACCCCATATTCCATTCCGCGCCAGGGGACAGCGCAAAGGAAAAGGGTGAATAAAAAAAACCATGATATTCCAACCTCCTGATTCGGAGTACTCTAAACTCCCCCCCCCCCCCCCCCCACACACACACACACACCCACGCTTAATTGCACAGGCGTAGAAGTGGGGACGCGGCCCCATCCCCCATTTGCCCCATCCCCCATTCGCCCCTCCCCCCGTCCCTAACGCCCCCTTCCCCGGGGTCTGGATAATGGTGCACGGAAAAAAGGAAAAATTAGGAACAAAGGAAATTT